GCGTTGTGTTCATGTTTGGATACCAGACACGCACAACTCGAGGGATAACACCGGGTTTTTCTGTTTTGTCCTTTTTTATTTTTTTAATATTTTTTCTTCTCCGGGTTTTTTTCGTTGTTATGCTTCGGTTTTTTCTAGTTTTTATTTTGATTTACAATTGTTTCTTCCATTGTTTTTATCCTCTTTTTAAAAATTCTTAATTAACATTTTGTATACATGACAAAAAAATCATCATTTTTCTAGTAAATGATCAAAAAAATCTATACATGTTCAACATTTTTTGAATGCTTGATTAATATTTTTCTAAATTCTTGATCAAAATTTTCATAATGCTTTATTTAAAAAAATTCAAATACTTGTTCACCATTTTTCAAATACTTGTTCAACATTTTCCGAATGCTTGTTCAACATTTTTAAAATACTTGTTCAACATTTTTAGAATGCTTGATTAACATTTTTCAAATACTTGATCAACATTTTTTAAATGCTTGATCAACATTTTTCAAATACTTGTTCAACATTTTGGAATGCTTGATTAACATATTTAAAATACTTGTTCAACAATATTTCAAATACTTGACTAACATTTTTCAAATTCTTGATTAACATTTTCACATACTTATTCAACATTTTCCAAATGCTTGATTAACATTTTTTGAATACTTGTTCAATATTTTTTGAATGCTTGTTCAACAATTTTCAAAGACTTGTTCAACATTTTTCAAATGATTTTATAGAGTGTTTTTGTAATATATATGGAATATTTTAAATTATAAACAAAAGTACAAATACAAAGAAAAAAATAAAATAAAACAGAAAAAGCGGTTGTCTTTTTCCCGCCTGGTGGGCAGACCCATCTCGCCTCCCCCCTTCAGCGAGTCAGAACCTAGACCCGCTAAAGGCGAGATATAGGGGCGCCCTGCTGCATGTGTGGAATCGCAGATGAAATGAGAATTTAGGATTCGAGGAACAATAACCACTCACATCCATCTTGGCACTAAGAGGAACGGTGAGAGAATTTTATGGTCTTCGTTAGCATCTAGTGGTTACATCTAAAGCATGGAGGCGATGTCGGAGATGCTTGTCGTGCTGTCCTGTGGGGCCATGCATGAAGGCCCTACACTGCCTAAGCATTGTGTCAAGCGTTCTACCGACGAACAGGTAGGCAAAAACCTCCAGCATCATCTTTGGCCTCACCTTGCTGATGACGAAACTAATTTGTGATGAGAAAAGTAAATAAGCTAATGGATTGTGCGGGCATGTCAATGATGTCACCCACCGTTCTCTGAAATATGCGATAGGGCCGTAGAGGGCGGCGATGGTGAGCTGGTGGACGGTAACAAGCATGAGCAAGTCAAGATTGTCGTCAATATTCACCTTTACCAGCAACATCATCATTGCCGCACCATGTTCAGCCCTATCATCACCACCACTGGCAGAAACCACCGCTTCTCTTAGCTCACT